AGCCACCTGTAAAATTCAAGTTTGGTCTTCCTGTGTTCAACAGCCTTGGGCACCAAGAAGCCCCGCCCTCCCTGCTTCCTGTAGCACCACGTGGCTGCTGCTCCTGGGCACACCATCTCTACACTCTGACATCGCTCACCCTTGGTTCTGTTACTGACTCGTGTCTGCCTGCTCACACGGCTCGGGCTTCCCGGTGCCCAGCCTCTCTCTGCGCCAGACTCGCCGAAGTCTCCAGAGCTGAATGGCTGTCACCGCCCACGTTCAATGCTGTGTGCCTTGCTTAGTGAACCGCTCTGTCCCTCAGCTCCATCGCTGGGCTGGCCCTTGGGCTTCGTCCCTCCCCTCTGTTCCCAAGCTCCTCCCTCACTAGGCACCGAGCTTGTCCAGCCAGATGTGTCTCTCAGCATTTAATCTTGATCAGCTCGCACCTGCTCTGCACTGTAGAGAAAAGAGGTCTTGCAGAAGGACCACGCTGGGGCCAGCCTTGTGGTGTGGCAGGTCAAGCCAAAGCCTGAGACACCGGCATCCCATGTGGACGCTGGCTCGTGTCCTGGCTGCTGCACTTCCGATCCAGCTCCCTGTGAGTGCCCTTGGGAAAGCAGTGGAAGATGTCTCAAGTACTCAGGACCCTGCACCCACATGGGAGACCTGGATGGAGTTCTTGGCTTCAACCTGGCCCAGCCCTGGCCATTGCAGCCATTGGGGAGTGAATGAGCAAATGGAAGATTCTCTCTCTGCCTCTGCCTCTATGTAACTCTGACTTTCAAAGAAATAAATAAATCTTTAAAAAAAGAAAAGAAAAAACAAAGGCAAAGACTAAAGGAAGGGAAAATCAGAAACCCCGCGCTTCCTCACTGCAAACGTCCCAGAGCAGTCGGCCATGGAGACGGTGGATCACTCAGAGACAGGTATGGAACTTGACGAGATCCCTTACAAAACCACCATGTGAACATATTCCCAAGGGCAAAGTACAAACACGGCGCTAAGAAATCAAAGCGCTCTCTCCATCACCTCCCATCCCCGACTCGCTGCCCGGAGGAGGAGGAGGAGGAGAGTTCGCCTGCCAGTCTGGGGTGTGTCCTCCGGATTTCTCTCCGTGCATTTACGCTATCCCATCTTCAGCAGAGTGTGTGGGGCGCCCTCCTCCACGCTGGGTTGTTTACCTGTCACTAAGGTTAAGGCAAAACTATCAATCTGATGAACTCCTGTGTCTCCTCTAGATGGATTTATTTCCTGCTGCTGACAAGTTGGGGATCACGAGTAGACGAGAGTGTGTATTTGGGTTTGAAGGAGTTCCTGTTCCCTTTTCTCTCTTACTATGTAGCCCCGGGGGCCGGCATGGTAGGCAGCAGGTTAATTTGCTGCCTGCGACACTGGCATCCCCTGTGAGCGCCAGTTTGAGTCCTTGTGCTCCATTTCCTATCCAGCTTCTTGCTAATGCACCTAGAAAGCAGTGAAGATGACCGAGTTCTCGGTCCCTGCTACCCCCGTGGGAGACCCGGATGGAGATCCAGGCTCGGGGCTTGGGCCTGGCCAGCCCTGGCAACTGCAGCCATTTGGGGAAGAGAACCAGCAGATGGAAGGTTTTCTCCTTCTCTCCGGGTCTCTCCCTCTCTGTCATTCTGCCTGTCAAATAAATCTTTTTAAAACATATAAATGTAGCCCTGGATAGGTAGCTTCACCTGTCTGAGAATGTTTCTTCAACGGAATAAAAGAACTCATTAAGCTCTCCGAGGTCCCTCTTAAGTCACACACGTTACGTCAGGGTCGGCGGAATCTGTGAGTTGTTTGGGAGATCTTTGTGAGGTTCTGCCGATCGACCAAACTCAGAAACTGCGAAAGCAGAAGCAGAAAGGACTTTCATTGCGGGGTCTTAGAAACTGTACTTGGGGAGACACAGGTCCAGATAGCTGTGAGTCAGCGTTCCCGAACAGGGCAGGGAAAACGAATTTCAACAGGTCAGTAGCAACTCCTTTGCAGCCCCCCCCCCCCCCATCGAAACAGACAAAGGACAGGACCTGTGTGACTGACAGAAGGGCAAGAAAAAATGCACATGATTGATAATGCAAGACTCCCGGAAGCTCCCTGTCTGGAGTCTGGCTGCAGGGTGACCGGCTGGGTGTCCGCAGAGGTCGCCGAAGGGCACACTCCCAGGCTGCAGCCAGCGGGGAGCCCGAGTCCTTCTGCACGCTCTCCCGGCTCCACCTCAATAAACGCTTCATGCTGTTTTCAGCCTACCTTGCCTCCCATCGCCACGGTTCTTACGGTTTATTCCAGTTCAGTACCTGTATTATTAGAGGGTATATTTCAGAATCCGTATAAACAGAGGTTACTGAAATGTGCGTTGATACTTATTTTCGTCACGTTGTTTTGTGGTTTTTTTTTTTCTTCATTCTAGGTGGTTTTGTGTTTGTGATTTTTTTCTTTCGTTCTTCTGTTGAAATGCAGCTCGGCTGACAGCAATGGTTTTTCCTCGCTCTCAGCGACTCTTCTCAGATGTCAACATGCATTACTTTGAAACTGTTATGGAAAATTGCAAACATACACAAGTAGAAATAATTAATATAATAAGACCCTATGTATCTGTCAAAACAAACAAACAAATTTGGCCTTAGGTAAACAGGGGTTTTGTTCAAAAAGACCAATTGTAATAGGACAAACGCTCCCACCACGTGATCTGCATCAGAGTCAAGGCTGTGGAGGTTACTTTCACAGGGAGAAAGCCGTGAGGGAAGTGGGGTGACAGAGCCATTAAACACCCAAGATTTCCGCCCATGGATCCTTGGGAGGGGCTGCGGGGAGAGGACGGAGGGTTCCACATTCCGCTGAGGTCCCAGTGTTCACCCAAGTTCAAGGACGGGCCAACGATGAAAGGCCAGGGAGAAAAATGTCTAAGATGTGGTCAGGTTAGCAGGCATTCTGTGTAGACCCATCAGTGAGGACAGACGGCTCAATCATTTGTCAGACGAATCAACAGGTGTTTGGTGTCTGACCTTGTCCCAGCAAGGTCGACAAAGGGCCCAGGACTCTTAGAAAGTAACGTGGGGTGCCGGCGCCGTGGCTCAATAGGCTAATCCTCCACCTTGCGGCGCCGGCACACCGGGTTCTGTCCCGGTCGGGGCACCGGATTCTGTCCCGGTTGCCCCTCTTCCAGGCCAGCTCTCTGCTATGGCCAGGGAGTGCAGTGGAGGATGGCCCAGGTGCTTGGGCCCTGCACCCCATGGGAGACCAGGAAAAGCACCTGGATCCTGGCTCCTGCCAGGATCAGCGCGGTGCGCCGGCTGCAGCGGCGGCCATTGGAGGGTGAACCAACGGCAAAGGAAGACCTTTCTCTCTGTCTCTCTCTCTCTCACTGTCCACTCTGCCTGTCAAAAATAAAAAAAAAAAAAAATAAATAAAAATAAAAAAAAAAAAAAAAGAAAGTAACGTGGGGAAAGGCTGTGTTTCCTGAGAAACCTAAGGCTGGAGGGGTTTCTTAACCATCCGGAAACACAGGTGCCAGGTAACACTCAATACTGTAATAGTCATCACTACTCACCTTAACACTTGTGTTTCTTTTTACCTGTTTAAGAAATTTATTTATTGATTTTTTTGACAGGCTGAGTTAGACAGTGAGAGAGAGAGACAGAGAGAGAGGTCTTCCTTCCGTTGGTTCACCCCCCAAAATGGCTGCCATGGGCAGCGCGCTGTGCTGATCTGAAGCCAGGAGCCAGGTACTTCCTCCTGGTCTCCCATGCGGGTGTAGGGCCCAAGGACCTGGGCCATCCTCCACTGCCTTCCCAGGTCACAGCAGAGAGCTGGACTGGAAGAGGAGCAACCGGGACTAGAACCCGGGGTGCTGGCACCACAGGCAGAGGATTAGCCTACTGAGCCACGGCGCCAGCCTATTTAATTTTTATTTGAGAGGCAGAGCAACAAAGGGAGAGACAGAGACATTGCATCTATTGGTTCCCTTTCCAAATGACCGCAACAGCCCCAGTTGTGCCGGACCGAAGCCAGGACCCTGGAACCCAGCGTAGGTCTCCCACATGGGCGGCATGGACGCAGTGACTTGGGCCACCGTCTGCTGCCTCCCAGGGTGCACATTAGCAGGAAGTTAGAGCAGAAGTGGAGGCAGGGCTTGACCCAGGCTCTCCAGTATGGGATGTGGGCAAAGCCCCTGCACCACAACTCGCATCCTGAGCACCAGAGCTCGGCCCCAACCCTGGGCACTGGACCACAGCATGAGGGCATTGGAGGGGAATCACGGGGGCTGTGCCAAACGCTGGCCCTTAACAGTCTTCAGCTCACGCCACACTTGCTTATCTAGACCTCACACCCAGCTTCTGCCCACACCACCCACAGACATGCAGGACATCACCTCACTCATCTTTTTATATGAACAGACATTTATATAAAAACTTTTTGGGCCAGCGCCGCGGCTCACTAGGCTAATCCTCCGCCTTGCGGCGCCGGCACACCGGGTTCTAGTCCCGGTCGGGGCGCCGGATTCTGTCCCGGTTGCCCCTCTTCCAGGCCAGCTCTCTGCTATGGCCAGGGAGTGCGGTGGAGGATGGCCCAGGTGCTTGGGCCCTGCACCCCATGGGAGACCAGGATAAGTACCTGGCTCCTGCCTTTGGATCAGCGTGGTGCACCAGCCACGGCGGCCATTGGAGGGTGAACCAACGGAAAAGGAAGACCTCTCTCCCTGTCTCTCTCTCACTGTCCACTCTGTCAAAAAATTTTTTTGAATTTTATTTGAACAGTATTCTTCCCCCACATAGTCAGAGGTTTTCCAGTATCTCTCTAATTCCTTCCAAACCTGAGAAGGGCCTTAGCATGACTTAACTCCAGACACACAGCTGCTACTTCACCAAGAGGTTTAGACTCACTCTTATTTTTTTAAAGAGCTAATTATGATGGTTTCCGGTCAATAATTGTTTAATTTATTGATGTTTTATCAATTTCTGCAAATTCCTTACAATGTTTTCATTATTTTACATTTTTCTTTTTTCTTTCAGTTAGGGGCTATGGGTGTTAATTTCTCCCGCCGTGAGTGTGGCTACGATACCTTTACCCTCACTCTGAAGTTGCAGCAGAGCTGGGTATAACATTCTGCATGGTAAATATCCCTGTCCCCTTCGGAGATATTATCTGGCGGATTTACCTGGCATCTGTCATGCTTCGTGAGTCAGTTGCCTTTCACTTACGAGTAACAGTGTTTTTCATCCTGGTGCCTCTTACTATTGTCTCTCTAGTTAACCAGACAGTATGTGTTTCCTAGACATGCTGTGTATCACAGGGAAAATGCGGCACCAGCTATGAAATATTTTTCCACAACACTACATCCCAGGGAGCCTCTAGATACAACCTCAGTTACAGGACACGAGGAGATGGGAGCTGCGGCAGCACCTCAGGGACACGCTGAGCCAGATGTATTTCCTCCATGTGTCAGAAACGCTATAGGAAAAACGACTTAGTTTCCTCAGCCAACAAATGGCTAAAAGAGGGAAGAGAGAGATTATAACTGTTTAAAACAATATTTACTTATTTGAAAGATGGGGTTAGAAAGATGCAGAGGCAGAAAGAGAGAGAGAGAGAGATCTTCCATCCACCGGTTCACTCCCCAAATGGTTGCAACAGGCAAAGCTGGGCTGATCCGCAGCCAGGAGCTTCTTCCAGTCTTCCACATGGGTGCAGGGGCTCAAGCACTTGGGCCATCTTCCACTGCTTTCCCAGGCCATAGCAGAGAGCTGGATCAGAGGTAGAGCAGCTAGGTCTTTCACCAGTGCCCATATGGTTTGCCGGCACTGCAGGTGGTGGCTTTACCCACTATGGCACAGCGCCAGCCCCAAAATTATGACTTTTTAAACACTGTAAGAAACATCCTGGGACCAGCACTGTGGCATAGCTGGTAAAGTTGCCGCCTGCAGTGCCGGCCTCCCATTTAAGTGCCAGTTTGAATCCTGGCTGTTCCACTTCCAATCCAGCTCTCTGCTGTGGCCTGGGAAAGCAGTAGAAGATGGCCCAAGTCCTTGGGCCTCTGCACCCACAAGGCAAACCTGGAGGAAGCTCCTGGCTCCTGGCTTCGGATCAGTGCAGCTCCGGCTGTTGCAGCCAATTGGGGAGTGAACCAGTGGATAGAAGGCCTCTCTCTCTCTCTCTGCCTCTCCTCTGTGTAACTCTGACTTTCAAATAAATAAATCTTAAAAAAAGAAAAAGAAAAAAGCAGCAGTAGCGGAGCAGCAGGGACTCGAACCAGCACTCAGATGGGATGCCGGCACTGCAGGTGGCAGCTTTATCTGCCCTCATAAATTATTTCCAAATAATATTTTTGTAACTTTTTTCATTTTCATCCTTTTTCAACTTATTTTTTTGTACAAGGAGTGAGGTAGGGATCTAACTATATTTATTGAATACCCAGTTTTGCAAATACCACTTATTTATATACACTGCCACTTTTATGAGTAACTAAATCCCCATTTGCATTTACGAGTATTGATCACTGGGGCTTGCCTGAGTGACCTTAACCCTGACCCCACTAGTTGAAACAGCCTTGCATTCCCTGGAGGGTCCCGGGAATTCCAGATGCTTCTCACTATGGATAGCTAATGAATTCTGCAATATTCTCTTTACCATACGCTTTTGCTCCAAACTGCTATGACGCAGGGAGGTATCAATATATTTACATGCACTTCCTCCATGAATTCACAGTCCTCTTGCTCTCTGTCCTTGGATACCACATTGAGATTTTGAAGCCTGGTCTGTACTTCCCCATCAATATACAGACTTTATTTGCAAGTGGGTGACAGGGGCAGGAGTCTGACATAGCAGTCTGGATTATGGGACACCCGCAGTCATACTGGATGTCTTGGACTCAAGTCCTGATTCCAGCATCCTACTAATGCGCACCCTGGGAGACAGCAGGGGATGGCTCACGTAGTTGGTCTCTGCCACCCAGATGGAAGACCTGGACTGAGTTCCCAGTTCCTGACAAACTTCGGCCTGGCTCATCCTTGGTCCCAGCAGGCACTGCATCAGTGGATGGGGTCTGTCCTTCTGCCTTTCAAATAATCAGATGCACAGAAATTCGCTAGCACTTTTTAGATTGTCATAGGATGGGGTGACATAAAGGGAACATAGAAGGGAAATGAGAGGGACAGAGTTTTGCATGAAATGGAGTAAAGCTTAGGTAAGAATTTTAGAAAATACAACAGAATGTAAGTAATAATTGCCTTAGTCATCAAGGGCTTTGTCTCTGCCCCCTCCAGTGAAGGAGACCCAGATCTCCTGAGAGTCCTGGCTTCAAAGAAGAGCATTCCAGCCGCAGCAGTGCCTGGATGGCTCCTCCCCGGGGGCCCCAGCCAGCAGGAAGTTGAGAGTGGAAGAAGAAAGAGGGAACAGTGGAACTGAACCCCACGTGCTCAAATCAACACCCGGCCTAGCTCTTAAAGAGAGCTCAACCCTGGCCCCGCATCTGAATCTCCTGGGAAACTTAAAACACACCCATGTCCTGGAGCAATGAAGTAAGAAACCTGTCGCCATAGGATTAGAAGTTCACTTCTTCCTTGTGTCCTTGTTATAAAAATGTGCAGCTTTAGGAACAACGCAAGAATGTATTTTGGCTTTATTGGGCCATTCTAAAAGTTCAGAAAATCGGTCTAAGGACAGCTGAGTGAAGTGAGTTCCTTTCACAGTCCACAGAAATGAAGCCCGGACCCCAGTGCCTCGACGTGGTCTTTGTCAGGCTCCAGTCTCCCACCCTCAGCCTTAGTTCCTCAGTCTTCACGTTGATGGGTACATATCACCTCCTACAGTTAACTCAGTAAGTCAAGGGAGTGGCACGAGACTAAGTCCAGACCCCCCAAGACCCCAAATCACAGAGAAGTCAGTGATTACATCCTCTATACTTCCCATCCCAATGCTCAACTCTGTTTTAAAATTGTCTCAGGAACTCCAGGCCCCAGTCAACACAATTGTTAACATCCATTCTACCCATAGACCCCAGACAGACCAGAGCCCACTCCACCATCACAAAATATGCCAGTCTCCCATCGCTGACCAATCAAAGGAGGGCTACAAGCACTGTGGACCAACCAGAGACTCTTACATGAGCTGATCTCACACTGCACAAACCCAGATTTGATCTACGAGATGCAATGCCCTTAACCTTCAGGGAGTTCAGGAATGTAACCACAGCCACCTGACTCCTTGCTCTGCACTTTGCAGAATAAACTACTTCCTTGTGCCCCCCTAGTATCAGTGACCAGCTTGCTGCGTGTTGAGTGAGTGGATCCAGGTTTGGGGCTTCTACAACACATCTAGAATATTCAGGATCACGAACTCTTGAGTTTTAGCCTGGCCTAGAGTTGACCATTGTAAACTGTTTTTAAAATGCACATTGCATTGATGAGAGTCCTTTGGGTTACAAGCAATAGAAATCAACTTGGGCTAAATTGAAAATAACGTACAGGAAAGCCACTGGCTGACCCACAGAAAGACAAAACTATGGGCAGAATTTGAGACGCTCCCATTGGAATGGTGCAGCAACGTTCTGTGGGATCTTTCTTAATCTGGGGCTGGTGCTGTGGCACAGCGGGTAAAAGCCACAGCTTACAGTGCTGGCATCCCATATGCGTGCTGGTTCAAGTCCCGGCTGCTCTACTCCCGATCCAGCTCTCTGCTATGGCCTGGGAAAGCAGTAGAGGATGGCCAAGTCCTTGGGCCCCTGCACCCACATGGGAGACCCAGAAAAAGCTCCTGGCTCCTGGTTTCAGATCAGTGCAGCTCCGGCCATTGAGGCCAACTGGGGAGTGAACCAGCAGAGTAAAGACCTCTCTCTCTCTCTGACTTTCAAATAAATAAATAAATCCTTTTTTTTAAAAAAAAAAAAAAAAGTTAAATTGTTACAAAAAAAAAAAACCTATAGATAATCTGCAGAGAAATTCTTGAACCAGACACTGTACTAGGGGATTGGGTGATGTGAGTGACATTCCCATAAGGATTACGTGAAACATGGGAGAGATACTTCCCCAGGTAAGTGCAGGGTCCTGCTCTCCCTAAGTGGGGAAAGAGATGAGCGGTCTGTACCACATAGATGCTTAAATGGGTAGGAGGTACTGCTACGCTAGACTAGCTGGTGGACTTGACCTACCCGATAATTCTGCCTGTGAAGCAACATACCACAGCAAAAGCCAGAGCCAAGCTCAACAGGCAACTAATTTGGGAACTAAGATCTCAGTTCAGGAGCTAACACCATGAGCTTGTGCCTCCAATCAGGTAGCAAGGATGACCTATGCTGACTCGGGGCTCTTGGCTGCCACCTAGTGGTAGCAATGATGGGACCCAGTGCCCAGGCTACCAGGTTAATGTGGTTAGGAGTCCACCTAAAACATTACCTGTCGGCTGATCCAGGAGCTGGACATGTAAGTAGGGGCTATAAAGACACATTGTTCTATCAAGGTGTGCTCCCGTTGCCAGGGAAGGAGAAAGTGTACCCCACGGGCAGTAAGTTTTCCAATTCCCATCAGCATTTATCTGCATCCCAGGTAGTAGTTGGCCACTCCCCAAAAGGTAGGTCCACAGCCTAGAACCTGTGCGTGTGCCTCTTTGGAGTAGGATCTCTGCAGGAAGACTCTCAAGGTGAGGTTACCTTGGATTATCCAGCTGGCGCCAGCCCAAGGATAAGACACACACAGAGACAAGGAGAGAGGTGGCAGCTGGATAGAGGTGGAGGCTGGAGTGACCCAGCCACAGGCCAAGCAATGTCTGGGGCCACTGGGACCTGGAAGGGGCAAAGAAGGTTCCTCCAAGGGGCTTCCAGATGGAGTATGGGCCTGATGACACCTCTAGAATCTAATTCTATATTTTTAATTTTTATGTGTTTAAATGGCAGAGATACAGAGACAGAGAGAGTGAGCTCATGCCCTGGTTCACCTCCCAAATGCCTACAACAGCTGGGGCTTGGCCAGGCTGAAGCCAGGAACAAGAACTCGAGCCCGAAGCCCACCCAGGTCTCCCCCATGACTGACAGGATCCTGACTACTTGAGCTATCACCTGCTCCCTCCCAGGGCGCACATTAGCAAGAGGCTGTACTCAGAGGCAGAGCCAGGACTCGAACCCAGGAACCCCGATATGGGACATGTGGGTTCCATGCAGCGTCTTACCTACTACACCAAATGTCTGCCTGGACTTCTGTTGTTGAAACCACCAACGTCCTGAGAATTTGGTTCAGCAGCCCTAGGAAGATAACGCCGTTGATATCGCTGGGCACCAGGACTTGTTCCAAACAGTGGCGTTGGGCCCCCACCCCGCGTACCACCTAGGTGGCACCTGTTGTATACTCCTAGCCTCTCAGATTGCTGGGGCCACTGAGCCCATTGATATGGGAAGTGCAGAGCTATCCGTCAGTCAGCTCAAGGGTCTTCCCTCAGTGAGTTTTGCCCAACACCAGGAATTCAGACAAAGGCCCTATATTTAAGTGACAGATGGCAATCGGAGCAACAAGAGCTTAGAGATAGACAATTGCTATATTACCCATTACCACAAACCCAGGGGGATAGAAAGAAATTGAATAAGAAGATCCCTGCAGTGGAGACAAATGCAGTCCAGCCGGCTCTGAGCTTGCTCCCTTGAGGCATTGTTGAGGGGATATGCAGTGACCTTGGGTTTCTATCCAGGTTGGAGGAGGTCAGAACATGGCGCCTCAACATGCGCCACCCTGGCGTAAGGGTTATCTTGGGCTGAAGGTAACGGAGACAGAGCAGGCACAGGGAGAACTCTCTGCCTCCCCCTTCCTACCTACAGGCAGGCACACGATGTCTCTGTGAAGATGACAGCAACTTCCCTTTGTACAGGTGTCCCCTCTCCCATACCAGGACAACCAGAGACGGCTCTGAGGTCAGTCAGCAAACACACCTCCTATTTTCTAGTTACTGTCCCATCATCTATCCCCCTAGGAGCCAAACCCCCTTTCCCCCGATGTGTCGCCCTTCATTAAAATGGTATAGAAGCCAACCATTTCTCTGGGATTTCTCTTCTTTTTGCAAAGTCCCTGCACACATAGGCTATTAACATGCATATGTGTTCTTTCCTGTGAGTCCATCTTTTGAAAGCTTAATTCACAAGCCCCAGACACAGAATCCTTAAGAAAGCGTGGAAGGAGAGGTCTTTCTTCCCTACAGTGTGGACTAAGGATGGAAAACCAACCTCAGGGTGAGAGACTATGCCCATGGGGTTCCAAGCATCAAAACACACAGGTAAAGTCAAAAAGACAGTGACCATGGGAATGACAATGTTATTAGGACATATTGACAGAAGAGCTATTTGGGTTAAGGGGAAGGAAAAAAAAAAACCAGTTAAAATTCCAGTTGCCACTGGTCAGCCAACAAGCCTCTCCCACACAGATAGCAAAGTAACAACCCACACTCCAGGATGCGACATCCATCTCAGATCTCTTTGAAAGGAACGATTCCCATCACTTCAAAATTACAGCAGAGGGTTTGTGGGATGGACAACCATTCCCCAGTACCAATAAAATGGAATTCTTTAAAGATCGCAGGAAGTTTGATTGATACGGCTAATACCACGGAGGAGACACAGGGACAGGCTTCTGGCACCATGGCGACTCCCACATCCCACTTCAGTTCTACCTGCGTTTTCAGCTTCCCGCTCATGTGTGCCCTGCAGGCACCAGGAGAGAAGTCAGGTACTTGGGTCTCTGCCACCCGGACCTGGACTGAGATCCTGGCTCCTGCCTTCCGCTTGGCCCAGCTCTGGGCGCTGTAAGCATCTGGGAAGTCATCTAGTGGTCGGAAGATTCTCTCTCTCTGCTTTTCAAATAAATATTTTGTAATGAAGGCAACGGGTATGAATACTCTTACTGGTGACTGTGGTAAGCACACACAGAGGTTCTTTTGCTTACTGACAGGAGTAACTTGTCTGACCCGTGAAGATGATGTTTCTGTGCCCAGGACTTATTTGCAACTATTTCTTTTCTTTTCTTTTTTTTTTTTTTTTTTTTTTTTTTTTTGACAGGCAGAGTAGACAGTGAGAGAGACAGAGACAGAGAGAAAGGTCTTCCTTTTTGCCTTTGGTTCACCCTCCAATGGCCGCCGCGGCCAGTGCATCGCCAGGAGCCAGGTGCTTCTCCTGGTCTCCCATGCAGGTGCAGGGCCCAAGAACTTGGGCCATCCTCCACTGCCCTCCCAGGCCACAGCAGAGAGCTGGACTGGAAGAGGGGCAACCGGGACAGAATCCGGTGCCCCGACCAGGACTAGAACCCAGTGTGCCGGCGCCGCAGCCGGAGAATTAGCCTAGTGAGCCGTGGCGCCGGCCACAACTATTTCTAATCAAGTTCTGCTTCCCTGGAGTTGGCAATCGGACAGCCTGGGGTGGAATGGACATAGCCAAGATAACACCAGTGATCTATGACATCTGATTTTTTTGTGACAGTTTTTTTTTTTTTTTTTTGACAGGTAGAGTTAGACAGTGAGAGAGAGAGAGAGAGAGAGAGACAAAGGTCTTCCTTCCGTTGGTTCACTGCCCTAATGGCTGCCACGGCCGGCGCTGCACCGATCCGAAGCCAGGAGCTGGGTACTTCCTCCTGGTCTCCCATGCAGGTGCAGGGGCCCAAGCACTTGGGCCATCCTCCACTGCCCTCCCAGGCCACAGCAGAGAGCTGGACTGGAAGAGGAGCAACCAGCACTAGTACCCAGCGCCCCAATGGGACTAGAACCTGGGGTGCCGGCGCCGCAGGCAGAGGATTAGCCAAGTGAGCCCCGGCGCCAGCTGCGACACTGAGTTTTAACCACTCATATTCAAGCGAGTACTGGGCTTGGGGTTGGGGGAGAGGGAGTTGTTAATGACACAAGCAAGTTGTGGGGTTGGTGTTCAGAGTGCCTGTGAGGGGTAGACACAGCTACAACGGCACAGGTGACTCCACGATCAACACAGACCCCTCCTGCCACCACGGGGACCTCATGGCATGATTATTTGGGATCAGGGCATTTTCTGGGCTGCCTACAAGTAGCCTTGGTCACCACACACCTTGACAGCAGTTCTTTTTGGACTAATTGCACTTACCTACTGCTTAACTCCTCATGCACAAAAACTGTCCCAAGAGCCAGAGACACTCCTCATCTCCCGCTGGGATGCAGAACAGAACTGGAGTAGACGGGAGACTTGTTGCAGGCCAGTGGCCTCTGTATAAACCTGAGCTGATGAATGTGTGGGCACAGCTCATTCCTGTGAGCAGCTCGGAGCCCGAGCCTGGGTAGGTGCAGTTGAAGTCCACCACACGAGACAAAGTAGCAACAGTGGTGCTAAGAGGTTTGTGTGGTGAGAAAGGCTTGGACACACAGCCCAGGCTACTTCACCCATCTGCCGAGTTTTCATCATGCAACATGCATGGACTCATTCCTCCAGGAATAATTGAACATCAACTGTCTGCCGGACACTCCTGGGCACTGCCATGAAGAACAGCACTCGACAGAGCCCCTGGACCCCCGGAGCTGCCTTCCTGTAGGGACACGGCAGATTAACAAATAAAAACACACACGGGTGGCTTGTTCCATCG